AAAAACATGTAATGTTCCCACTACCAGGAAACAGAGTTTGTAAAAATATAAATCTAGAAGAAAAATATGAAACATATTTTGCTGGCTTGCATATTCTTTGCATATTTGTGGCTTGCAGTATTGAATGCAAATCTATTTAGTGCGTCATTAACAGAAACAAACAAGATATATGACACGAAATATTTTATCCTGGTTGGGGCAAATATATGTTGGGGGAACACACTTCTCTGATTTTACATTTACTAATTATGGGTTGAATTTAGTTATTTCTGTTTTACTCTCACTGAGTGAGTGCATGGACCAAAACTCTGAATTGATACTGGCGCTATTCCATAATATGTCAATGCTGTATGTTTTTCTTTGCTGTACAAACTGTATTTTTCATTGAGGACATCTGTGATTCATTGAAGAATCAGTTATTGCTTAAAAATATTAATTGTCTCACCAATGCCCCAAAATCTGTGTCACACCACAAAGTGAAATATACCGTATGAACCCAATTACTCCTGTATTTCATTTCCCTTTAGTTGGCATTTCATTGCTCTTTTCCTGCACTATAGTGTGTTTGCATAAATACCAGACCCTATGCAGAGCATAAATTGAAGCACTTTGGAGTGCCCTCAGGGTCCCTACTCAAAACTGTGAAGTGATTAAAGGCATGCATACACATGATTATTACTGAATAGAAACTAAAGGGATGCTTTCCTTGTTGAATGATTTATACAGGTATGGATCATCTCTTTGCGTCAGTATAAAACAGGTACCTGATGAAGAATCATAAATGTATTATAAATATAAACAATAATAAATATAGTCTTAAAATGCAATAAGACTCTGGTTTTACTCCAGCAAACATGCCTATCTCTCACTGAAAAATTAACAAACTTCTATTATGGATTTTTTGTAAAGACAGATTTGTGGAGAGTTCTTTAAAAGTATAAAATAAGATTCACATTTTTTAAGATTGAATATTCCAATATGAATATTTACTGTAAATATATATAATTTGCTGTTTTTTCTGAAGCTGAATTGAAGGAACAGCTAAAAATACAACTAGATCAGTATCATGTAGAAATTAATGCTTTCTTGGGGGTTCTGTTTGGAAAGATGGTTAATTTTCTGCTTTTTGATAATACAACAAAATGTTAGCAGTCATGTAGGAACCACCAGGAGTATAGAATGCTACATTTATAGTTGCTGTTTGCTGAAAATGTGTGTCTGGTGCACTAAGCTCCTGACTCAGAGAATACACTTTTTTCCTTGAAGTTTTGGTGCTTGATCTGGAATAACTGTGATGGGTAAAGAAGTATGTAAAGAAAGACTTCTGTGCCCTGATAGCCACACAGCTCAGTATCCTGCCTCTTTGCCCACTAGTTCATACTATGTGGGATTGATACCAACAATGGATTGAAACTCAATAGAATTGTTACAAGGCAAAAGCAGAGAAAAGGGGAAGGTGGCCTAAAGAAACATGGGATCTGCTGTTCACTAGTATTTCGCTGGAGTGTGAGTTAGATCATATATTTGCAATTTGCCTTTCTTCTTCTGTTCACCCTTGGAGTTGCCTCTTCATTCTTCCCCTCTCCCATCCCATAGTCCCCTTTCCATTATCTCTCTGTGGGGTCAGTTTACATTTTTTTGCAGTTCTGTCCCCACATCCAAGACCATTTTCTTTGGAATTGCCTGAATATTTCTTGCTTGCTTTCCTCTTCCACTCCACAAGCAGGAAGGGAATTTACATGCTTGTGCCAGTCTCCAGTGAGGCTCCAGTGGAAAATGACCAGCGATTTGCACCTTTATTTGACCTTACATAGCTTAGTCACCTTGTCACCCTTTCCCCAGAACTGCAATGTCCAGGAAGAAGGGAGAGAAGAGAAACTAGAAATGCTTTTATGTGGCCGTTTACACAAAATATTTTTTTTTCATCCTGGCCTGGCAATGAACCATCTGTGTGTGTGAAAGCCAGATGTGTACATCTCCAAAGCTGGAGGTGTTGTCATAATTTACACTATTCTGCCTGGCCAGGGAGCAGGTTGTGATAGGGCTGTAGCTTTAAAAGATTCCACCATATTCAGGCTTAAGAGCTTGCAGGTACATAATTGTACCAACTGGCAAACAGAGTGCTTCTAGTCATCTGTCAAAATCAACAACAGCTTTTTTATTTTTATTCATGGGATGGAGTTAAAGACATTCATTTATTATTTTAGAAGGAATCAGGGCATTAGGAAGTAATCCCCTACCTAACATTATTCTGTCCTGCCAAAGGCTTATGAGTAAAGGAAACAGAGATGTTTGGGAAGGATATCATTATTATACATCACACAAGGAAAATAACAAATAGAAAGAAATTCTCCCGTTGCTTATAATTCTGAAATCTGAGTCATTTAACATTAATGTTAAAGATTCAGGACAAAGAAATAATTATTTGTAGAGGACCAATTAAACTACGGAACATGCTGACACAAAATAGGTCGATAGCCATAGAGGTGAACCATTTGGAAGATAAGTTAGAAAAATTTAAGAGGGAGGTACCGGCAAGTACAAAATGTTCCGTCTCAGGGGAATCCGTGTTTGAATTAAGGAAACAACGACGGAGTAGCAAATATAGGAAGCAGTTCAGGTTGTGTCAGCCTTCTGAGGTAGACCAGATAGGAAACACAACCAGATTCTACTGTATTGTAAGGCTACATTAACAGAATCTTGCACATCTGAAAATACAAATCTCTGGCCTTCTCCTTGACAGTCTGAGAACTTACGTATGTGTGTGTCCCTTCTGAGACTTTTTTCTCCGTCAGTTATGCAGCTGCCAGCTATGCCCTCTCTTATCCGACCATTCCCAAGGCAGTATTTGTCACCTCTTCCTCTTCTCCCAAGGTCAATCCCACATGCCACTACAGGTTCTTTAAGGAGTTGCCTACTGCTACAATCTGTGTGGCCACACGGATTCCAAAGCACTTTTCCTGTTCACTTCTATAGAGACTATATGCCAATGTATTTTTTGATGCAAACAAGAGTGGAGAATTCTATTGTCCTTAAGTTAGCTTGTGGGCATTTAAGTAGCATCTGTTGGCCACAATAGAAAAAACAGTGCTTCACTGAACAGACGTTTGGTCCAATTCACTACTGCCTTTCTTATCTTCTTACAAGCATATTGCCATAGGAAGAGATCCATACTGTTTGACTCATAAAGTTAGCTATACATATGTGCTTTAGATACTGTTTGATGCATTTAGGCTAGATTTGTAATTGGAGTAAGATTAGCATAAAAAAGGAAGCTTACTGATTTGGCTATAGCTTTCCTCTAAATTCTTTAATACACTTATGTAGGTAACTTGTAATTTAGTATAATAAAACCTGAGAAACTAAATATGTAAGCCACAAGTAACCTTGTTAGAATTTGTATTTCTCAGAAAAATAAATCTTTTTTTTCAAGATTAGATGAAATGTTAGTGATTTCTATGAGCAAGATTAATTCAAGTTATTTGCTGTTTTCCTGAAAACATTTAATCTCTTGGACAAATTACATTCATATTTAAAGTTCAACAATATATATTTAAGAGCTCTTGTTACTGTGGGTTAATGTATGCAAACTTTCTTGAAATTAAGATCCATTTTTAATTTATCCTTCTGGATAAAATTGTAGCTTTAGCTAGTACAGTAGGACACCTTAAACACTGAGTATTGATACTTGTAGGAAATTGATTTATTTTTTCTTGTTTTATCACTTTTTCATTAAGTGATATTATTATTATTATTATTATTATTATTATTATTATTATTATTATTATTATTATTATTATTATTATTATTATTATTATTATTATTATTATTATTATTATATCAGGTTTGTAAAATATTAGATGATTATATTAATCAAATAGCCAGAAATGCTTACTTGAAACATAGGAGATTGCTTACTTGAAAGTTACAAATGAACAGCATAGCCAGATACAGTTAGAGAAGGTGAGGAATGTCTAGGGCAGTGGTGGCAAACCTATGCCACACGTACCAGAGGGGGCACTCAGAGCCCTCTTTGTGGGCATGCGTGCCATCGCCCCAGCCCCATCTCCCCTTGTGTCCCGTTCCTCACCAGTAGCCCCCCAGAGGAGAGTCACCCCCGGGCGCAGCCCATGCGGAGCAGTGTAGCCAAGGACATGGCAGCTGGGCAGTGAGGACAAGACTCCACCCTTGCACCCCATCGCTTGCAGATGATGTTGTGGGGCACAGGCAGAGGGCGTGGCTGCCATGGTGCTGCTGGGCCACCTGGTTTTTGGGCACTCGGTCTCTAAAAGGTTCGCCATCACTGGTCTAGGGATTCATTTACAATCCTGGACTGAATTCCTATAATTATTGCCTTTACTTTCTCACTCTTTTACTGAGTTGTACTTGTAACTAAAATGAAAGATCAAGAAGCAGTATGTGCGCCAAGTCAGAATTTTAGAGATAGTTCTGAATTTACCAGTCAGTGCTTGGGGTTTAGGCATATAATATAATATTCAAGAAAATAATTGCCACGGGTATAGATCTGCAATTTCTAAGATGTTATGTAGAGTCTAAACTTTTCAGCAAATTGTATGTGTTATTTCATGATGGCTCTTTTTTCAAAGATCCTGAATTAGTTCTTCAAAGCTAGTTGTTCTTATGATGACTTTCCTTATGAGACCTACTATAATTCTTGCAAACAGTAATTTATAGAAGTAAGGAAATAAAATTTTTAATAGTGCTTTGAACTTTCCTGAACAGCTTTTTCGTAACTTTCATATAGTAAAACCAGACAGTGGAAACAATCATTTTCTGACTTTGAAAACTATCCAGTCGAGTGTTTCTGTTTTATTTATTTATCCATCCATCTTACTATAAACAATCTTTTTCCAAATGCTTTTTGCTGCGTGTTGGAATGCTAGAAATGACCATTGTAGGTCTTCATTCTTCCATTGTGGTAATTTAAATGTTATATTAAATGTTAATCTCTCTCCTTTTTTTTGCTATAGTAAAGAAAAATGGCAAAAATGGAGGTGAAGACATCTCTTCTTGACAATATGATTGGAGTTGGAGATATGGTGCTTCTTGAGCCCCTTACTGAGGAAACTTTTATCAGCAATCTCAAACAACGCTTTGATCACAATGAAATATATGTAAGTACACTATAAATAATTTCCGTATATTATTTTATATGGGATTCATTTCACACAAAAAGGCATGGATTGAAATCTCTAGACTGATATGTGAAACGTGATTTTTCCCAATATTACAAAAATAAGATGATTAAATGTGTGATATATATTTAGATGCAGAACAGTGGATCTATTTAACGGCTGCAGTAGATTGAGTAATCTAATAATCTAATTATACATTGTATAATTTCCTTTGTTTGCTCTGTCTTAGTAAAAAGTATTAATAGTGACATATGGCTCGTGAGACAATAAAACAATGGATAAAGATGAGATTAGGAAACCTAAGAACAGGAGAAAAGGAAGGGCTAAGTGGGAATAATTGGAGGAGAAAAAGGGTAGTTTAGGATTCCATTTAAAAGTAAATATCTTTTATTTATGCATTTTCATATACAGATACAAATATGCTGTTTCTTGAAAGTCTATTGAGCGATTCTCATTTGGCGTTAGTATATCACATGAAGCCACAGTGTTGTTCGAGAGGTTCTTTTATTCAGTGCACTGTGTTTCTGAATCAGGGTTTTGCTTAGCATGTTATGCATGCTTAGCCAGTTATCATTTACTGAGCAAATCACATTGTCAACTCTGGTTCAACATGATGTACAAATCCAGCATTTTTCATTTTCTCTTGAAGTCCTTTGGAACTGCATCTGCTGCCTTAATGCAAATGACAGAATGGCCTCCCTCTCCAGAATTATGCTTAACCCTCTTTTAGATGAAAAGTTGTTTACACTTGCCACAGAAGGTTGCAACTTAAAAGCCTCTTTAAATGTTATGCTTGCTTTTGTTAAAAGAAAAACCTTCCATGTCTCAATATCATAGTCTTTCTTGGTTTAGAGATAGTCTGCCTCTCTCCACTCTACACCTCTCTACAATTAACTACGTTTGCTCTTTCACTTTGATTTGGAATTTAAGTCATCCACTGAAAAGAACGTTAACCTTAACCTGGATTACATTCTGAAAATTGTTTAGTGTTCTGTTCTTACCCCTGATATAAGAATTACAGCATTATATGCTGTACTTCATTTGGTTTACAAAAGTTCATTCCTGTGGTGGAAAGGATTGCTTACTAATAAAGGAGGATTGTAAAAAATGTTGTACTTCTACACATATATCAAAGACATGGGAAAGTCAGCATTATTTTCTAAAACCAAGTCAACATTTTATAATTGCCCAGGTTATGTTTTCTACTGTTGACTTGAGATTTACAATAAGGGTGTCATAATCAAGGCAGATTACTCTTGTCAAAACTGATATATAAACTGACTAAATTAAAATTCATTGTTTGCCCATAGATTAATATGCTCACAACCCATTTACTCATAATATAATCATAATTTACATTTACTCATACTGTAAAATAAAACGGATTCAAGAAAATATTTTAAAAAACTTAAAAATATCAGTTGGTCATTGTTATGATATTAAGATATCATAAAATGGAGTATATTGATCTAAATATTTTCATCTATGAGTCTTAGGTATACATGTATGAATGTATTGTAAGAAACGTTAAGCAAGTGGCTTTTATTGTGGTTTGCTAATATGTGAAATGGATTTCAGACGTGTTGGGATTACAATCCTGAGTGTTATATCTAATACTTGGTTCGGTTTTTAATTTTAATCTTAGGTCTTTCACAGTTCCAGTAGTTTCCAATATTGTTACTTTTATACACGTTCTTTCACAAATAAAGGTTCTCAACAAAATTCCTAGAGTAATGTTTCAAGTCTATAGAACATCAAACAATGTAAAAATATATTATATGAAAAGAATCTATGAATATTCCTTTAAAGAAGGAAAATCATTGAAACAAAGCATATTCTTTGTGTTCCTATACAACATACTACTCTTGCAAACTAATGTTCTCAGTGCTAGCAGCAACTGATGAGGAAAGAGATCTTGTAGTAATGGTAAACAGTTCAGTAAAGGTGTCAATACACATGCTATAAAAATGGCAAGAGTGTGTTAAGGATAATGAGAGAAAGTATTGAAAATCGAGATGCCAGTATCATAAAACCCTTACTTTATATGAATCAATGATGTGATTGTATCTGGAATGTTCTGTGCATTTCTGGCCACTGTGCCTCAAAACGTTATAATTGAGCCAGAGACTGTTTATAGGAGGGCAGCTAAAACGATCAAGAGGGTGGAGCAGCTTCCCTGTCAGGAAAGGTTTGCAATATTTTGGATTGGTTAGTCTAGAAAAAAGGGGAATGAGAGAGGACATAATTTAGGAATACAAAATTATGCATGGTGTGGGTAAAAGGGACAAAGGAAAGCTATCTCCTTCTCAAAGATACTAAAACCAAATGTCATCCAATGACGATGAACCCTGAAAGAATCAGGACAGAAAAAGGATATTTTTAAAAACTACAATGCTTAATTTAGTTTTGGAATTTACTGCCCCAAGATGTGGTATTGGCTATCAGCTTGGCTGGCTTCAAAAAAGGGTTGGACCAATTCACGGAAGTCCTAAGGATCAATGTCTATTAGCCTCCATAGCAGACTGCCTCTGAAGGCCATCTGTTGGGAGACTAATAGGTTTCCCTGTGCTCTTGAGGAGCCCTTGGTACTTTCTCAGCTTGGTTGCTTTCTTGTAGACATTTCATTACCCAAACTAGGTAACATCATCAGTGCCAGGGGTTAGGGTTAGCTAGCACAGCTGGACTAGATGAGTGAGCAGTCCAATCTAGCAGGGCAGTGCTTATGGTCTTATATTTGATGCATCAGTTATAAATCTTAACAGGATATACGAGCTTATATAAGATGGCATAATTCTTCAATATCTGGAGTGCAGTTGTTACAGAAAATCTTACATGTATAACTTTTGGCTTATTTCAGAATGGTCATGACTGCAGTGAGTGGAGAAAACTTTCCTTCACAAAAGTGCATATGAAGGAAAACATAAATAACATTATATACAGATCTTTCAATTAAAACCTCCCCCTCTCCAATTCTTTCTGTGTGAATCTCTGATACCTTCCAATGTGTCTGGTTTAAAAATAAAATACTTTTAATGGTGGTGAAACAGAGTGAATCCAAACCCCACAAAAATTATCTCTTAGATCTTAGGACCAGCTTATGGAACAGCTTCATGTTTGGGGAGGTGGCAATGGGCAGGAAATTAACGATTCTGCTTGTTGTGGTATGATTTTTATTATTATTTTAAGAATCATTTGCCTTCCAATAAATGTTACGATGAAAAATTTTGTCCAATGACAGGGTTCTTCTTTCCTACAGGCTTTCAAATAAGTATTTAAAATTCCTATCTTCAGCTCTTGGATAAAACAGTAAATGACAAAGGAACCAAACTACAGGTAGTCCTAGTTCATTTAGTGACCATTTGAAGTTACAAAGACATTGAAAAAAGTAACTTAGGACCATTTTTTACACTTATGTCCGTTGCAGCATCCTCATGGTTATGTGATCAAAATTCAGACACTTGGCAACTGATTCATATTTATGACGGTTGCAATGTCCCAGGGTCATGTAATCACCTTTTGTGACCTTCAATGGGGAAACCAGATTCACTTAATAACTGTGTACTAACTTAACAACTACAGTGATTCACTTAACAACTGTGGCTGGGAAGGTTATAAAATGGGGCAAAATTCACTTAACAAATGTCTCACTTAGCAACAAAAACTTCGGGCTCAATTGAGATCGTAAGTCGAGGACTACCTGTATCCAATTGACTTTAAGAATGTCAACTCATGTCCCCAGGACAGGATTAATAAGATTAAAACAAAATCCTCGGTAATGTTAAGAAATGATGTTTGATTGCCAATGTTTTTTCAGTGAGGTGCCATACTACATATTCCCTTCCTGATTTATTTTCTTTTTATTTTCTAATTAATGCTATAAATGTAATGACATTTGACTGGAAAATTGGCAACAAACCCTGGAGGATAAGCAGCAGGAAATATGAAGAAAACTGCATGTATTTATTCACCAAGAGTTGAGCTCAACTCAAGGGCATCTTTGCAATGTAAATTTTATTACTGCTTTCCTTTTTCACTGAATATATTTCTTTTATCTCCTCCCCTACTGCCCTACTGTAAATTATGGTTCATGAAAATATTGGTAATTTGTTTAACTGAAAAGTTTCAAATGTTGGAATTTAAATCTTTGGTTGATATAAGGACAAGAAATACAAATTGTATATACATATTGTTTAGAAGCTTCACCAAGGCTCTATGAATTCATAGCTATTCTACTCTGCTTCATGAAAACAGAACTTTACTACATAACAAATGTTCCTCACTTTCACTTACTCCAAAGTTTCCTTAAAAAAAAAAAAGATTAGAACAGGAGCCCTCTGTGCATGTGTGTAGTGGCTCAGGGCCATAATTTTTCAATGAACATGATTGGTTCTGGCCACTTTTCTCCCATCCACCACCAACTATGTAAACAATCAAACTGCTTTTCAGTCTCATTTAAATGTTAAAATCTAATTTGGGGAAGGAATGGTGCATGCGCCAATGAAAAAGAAAGTGATTCTAGGGTTCTTGCAATGTTAGAGTTTTTCCTTTTCATCACCTCTCCATTCAAGGATTCACAGTGTTTTTAAAGCTAGAAAAGAAGGTCTTGTATTTCTAGCATTAAGTTGGATTCTGTTAATTGAATCGTATTTAATTTTTACCACACCTGTCAGATATTTGGCATAAATACTGCATTCACTTACCTGGAATCAAGCCCAAATTGAACAGTAGGCCTTACATGATTGATGTTCCTAATCACGAAATGTTTATCCTAGGATTGATTCCTTTTCTTAGTCCTTTTTCTCTCGTGCTTGTTAATGCTATAAGGTAGCGGTGTCCAATTTCATATATATTTGACTCCAAGGTCGTGGTGAGGTATAATGGAATTGAAGTCCCATATATCTGGAGACTTCTACTTAGGGAAAACTGGTATTATTGAATGGCCAGCTTAAAATTCTTTAGAAATAGAGTACAACTTTAAG